TCGACGATTTTTCTAAAAGCTCAATTTTTCAGTAATATGAAATTTTCAACCCCTTTTCGATCCCTTTCGAAACTTACCTGAAGGCATTTTTTGTAGACGTCGACATCCAGAAGTGACTTTCAGTCTCATTCCCTTGAAAACTTCTACCAGTTTTTCAGAATCGCTTAATGACAACTTTTACGATAAAAAAAAATTATTCAAGCTGAATATTTCGAAAACCTTGTTTCGGGACCATAAATACGCTAATTTTTCGAAACAGCTCGTCAAAATCTATAGGTATCCCACAACTTTTTGTGGATTTTTAGAAAACTTTTTCAAAAGCTTGATTTTTCAAAATGAAAATTTTGAGCTTTTTTCGACAAATTTGGAAAATTACCTGATGACATTTTTTTGCAGATTTCGATATATGGAAGTTACTTTCGGTCTTATTTCTCCGAAAATTCCTACCATTATTTCAGAATTGCCCGATCAATTATGTCAAATTTTACGATTTTCAAAAAAATTGACTTTCAAATGGAATATTTCGAAAAGCTCGCTATAAATATTTTTCAAATCAGCGCGTCGCAATCTATATCCCAGAAGTTTTTGTTAATCTTTAATCAACTTTTCAGAAGCTCGATTTTTCAATAGGTGCTTCCACCTAATGAAAATTTTGAGCTTTTTTCGACCACTTTCAAATATAACCTGAAGATTTTTTTTGTAGATTTCGACCTCTGGAAGTTACTTTTGCCCTCATTTTTCCGGAAATTCCTACCATTATACCAGAATTGCCGACGAATTATGTCAAATTTTACGATTAAAAAAATTGTTCAAATCGAATATTTCGAAAATTTCGCTCCCGAATGATAATTATATATTATTTTTCAAATCAGCACATCCAGATTTTTTATTAATTTTTAGACAACATTTTAAAAGCTCGATTTTTCAATTTCTCGTTATGAAAAATTTGAGCTATTTTCGACAACTTTTAAAAATTACCTGCTCACATTTTTTTGTAGATTTCGACCTCTGGAAGTTACTTTCAGCCTCATTTCTCTGGAAATTCTTAGCATTATTCCAGAATTGCCCGATGAAATGTGTCAAATTTTACGATTTAGAAGAAAAACGATTTTCAAACCGAATATTTCGAAAAGCTCGCTCCTGAAGGATAAATATGCTGTATTTTTCAATTCAGCTCGTCAAGATGTATATACCAGAGTTTTTTGTTAATTTGTAAACAACTTTTCAGAAGCTCGATTTTTCAATAAATCCATCTTATGAAAATTTTGAGCTTTTATCGACAACTTTCGAAAATTACTTGAAGATAATTTTTTGCAGATTTCGACCTCTGAAATTTACTTTCAGCCTTATTTCTCCGAAAATTCTTAGCATTATTCCAGAATTGCCCGATGAAATGTGTCAAATTTTACGATTTAAAAAAAAATTTTCTTTCAAATCGAATATAGGTATATTTCGAAAATCTCGGTCCTGCAGAAACAGCACGCCGCGATCTATATATCAGAATTTTGTATTAATTTTTAAACAACTTTGTAGAAGCTCGATTTTTCAATTTCTCCTTATGAAAATTTTGAGCTTTTTCGACAACTTTCGAAGATTACCTGAAGAAATTTTTTTGTACATTTCGACCTCTGGAATTTACTTTCAGCCTCATTTCTCCGAAAATTCTTAGCATTATTCCAGAATTGCCCGACAAAATCTGTCAAATTTACGATTTAAAAGAAAAACGACTTTCAAACCGAATATTTCGAAAAGCTCGCTCCTGAAGGATAAATATGCTATATTTTTCAATTCAGCTCGTCAAGATGTACCTACCTATATACCAGAATTTTTTGTTAATTTGTAAACAACTTTTCAGAAGCTCAATTTTTCAATACTTCCCTCTTATGAAAATTTTGAGCATTTTTCGACCACTTTCAAAAATTATCTGAAGATTTTTTTTGTAGATTTCGACCTCTGGAAGTTACTTTTGCCCTCATTTTTCCGAAAATTCCTACCATTATTCCAGAATTGCCGACGAATTATGTCAAATTTCACGATTTAAAAAAAATACTTTCAAATCGAATATTTCGAAAATTTCGCTCCTGAATGATAAATGTGTTATATTTTTCAAATCAGCACGTCGCGTTCTATATATCAGATTTTTTGTTAATTTTTAAACAACTTTTTCAAAAAATCGATTTTTCAAAACTCAAAATTTTCACAAGGAAACTCATAAAAATTGTGAGTTTTTTTCGACAACTTTCGAAAATTATCCGATGACATTTTGTTGTAGATTTCGACCTCATTTTTCGGAAAATTCCTATCATTATTCCAGAATTGCCCAATGAAAAGTGTTAAATTTAAAAAAAAAATGACTTTCATACCTATCGAATATTCGGAAAATCTCGCTCCTAAACGATAAATATGCAATATTTTTAGAAACAGCACGCCGCGATCTATATATCAGAATTTTTTATTAATTTTTGACAACTTTTAAAAGCTCGATTTTTCAATTTCTCCTTATGAAAAATTTGAGCCATTTTCGACAACTTTTAAAAATTACCTGCTGACATTTTTTTTGTAGATTCCGACCTCTGGAAGTTACTTTTAGCCTTATTTCTCCGAAAATTCTTAGCATTATTCCAGAATTGCCCGATGAAATGTGTGAAATTTCACGATTTAAAAGAAAAACGACTTTCAAACCTAATATTTCGAAAAGCTCGCTCCTGAAGGATAGATATGCTGTATTTTTCAATTCAGCTCATCAAAATGTATATACCAGAGTTTTCTGTTAATTTGTAAACAACTTTTCAGAAGCTCGATTTTTCAATACTTCCCTCTTATGAAAATTTTGAGCTTTTATCGACAACTTTCGAAAATTACTTGAAGATAGTTTTTTGCAGATTTGGACCTCTGGAATTTACTTGCAGCCTTTTTTCGCCGAAAATTCTTAGCATTATTCCAGAATTGGCCGACGAAATGTGTCAAATTTTACGATTTTCAAAAAAAATTCAATTTCAAATCGAATATTTCGAAAATCTCGGTCCTGAACGATAAACATACTATATTTTTCGAATGAGCACGTCACGATTTATACATCAGAATTTCAAACAGCTTTTTCAAAAGCTTGCTTTTTCAATCCTTGTTTCTTATAAAATTTTGAGCCTTTTTCGACCATTTTCGAAAATTAGCTGAAGTCTTTTTTTGTATATTTCAACCCCTGGAAGTTAGTTTCGGCCACATTTCTCCGAAAATTCTTACCATTATTCCAGAATTCCCCGATGAAATGTGTCAATTTTTACAATTTTCAAAAAAAAAGGTACTTTCAAACCGAAAATTTGGAAAAACTCTTTCCTGAAGGATAAATATATTGTATTTTTCAATTCAGCTCGTCAAGATGTATATACCAGGGTTTTTTGTTAATTTGTAAACAACTTTTCAGAAGCTCGATTTTTCAATCTTCTCTCTTATTTTGAGCTTTTTTCGAAAATTTTCGAAAATTACCTGAAGATATTTTTTTGTAGATTTCTACCTCTGGACTTTACTTTCAGCCTCATTTCTCCGAAAATTCTTAGCATTATTCCAAAATTGCCAGATGTAATGTGTCAAATTTTACGATTTATAAGAAAAACGACTTTCAAATAGAGCATTTCGAAAATCTCGGTCCTGAACGATAAATACGCTATATTTTTCAAATCAGCACGTCACGATTTATAGATTAGAATTTTTTGTTAAGTTTTAAACAGCCTTTTCAAAAGCTTGCTTTTTCAGTACTTGTTCCTTATAAAATGTTGAGTCTTTTTCGACCATTTTCGAAAATCAGCTGCAGTCTTTTCTTGTACATTTCAACCCCTGGAAGTTAGTTTTGGCCACATTTCTCCGTAAATTCTTACCATTATTCCAGAATTCCCCGATGAAATGTGTCAATTTTTACAATTTTCAAAAAAAGGTACCTTCACACCGAATATTTTGAAAATTTCGGTCCTGAACCATAAATATGCTATATTTTTCGAATCAGCACGTCACGATTTATACATCAGAAATATTTGTTAGGTTTTAAACAGCTTTTTCAATACTTGTTCCTTATAAAATTTTGAGCCTTTTTCGACTATTTTCGAAAATTAAGCTGAAGTCTTTTTTTGTACATTTCAACCTCTGGACGTTGGTTTCGGCCACATTTCTCCGTAAATTCTTACCATTATTCCAGAATTCCCCGATGAAATGTGTCAATTTTTACAATTTTCAAAAAAAAGGTACCTTCACACCGAATATTTTGAAAATTTCGGTCCTGAACGATAAATATGCTATATTTTTCGAATCAGCACGTCACGATTTATACATCAGAAATATTTGTTAGGTTTTAAACAGCTTTTTCAATACTTGTTCCTTATAAAATTTTGAGCCTTTTTCGACTATTTTCGAAAATTAAGCTGAAGTCTTTTTTTGTACATTTCAACCTCTGGACGTTGGTTTCGGCCACATTTCTCCGTAAATTCTTACCATTATTCCAGAATTCCCCGATGAAATGTGTCAATTTTTACAATTTTCAAAAAAAAGGTACCTTCACACCGAATATTTTGAAAATTTCGGTCCTGAACGATAAATATGCTATATTTTTCGAATCAGCACGTCACGATTTATACATCAGAATTTTTTGTTAAGTTTTAAACAGCTTTTTCAATACTTGTTCCTTATAAAATTTTGAGCCTTTTTCGACCATTTTCGAAAATTAAGCTGAAGTCTTTTTTTGTACATTTCAACCTCTGGAAGTTGGTTTCGGCCACATTTCTCCGAAAATTGTTACCATTATTCCAGAATTCCCCGATGAAATGTGTCAATTTTTACAATTTTCAAAAACAAAGGTACTTTCAAACCGAATATTTTGAAAATCTTGCTCCGGGACCATAAACATGCAAAATTTGCTTGCTTGGCAAACCTGCAGCACTTAAATAAGTGTTCGAGTCTTTCACATATTGTAATTTTTTTCAGCTATATTTAAAACTTTATCTTGTGTTTCGTACCTCCACTCGCTCCTCCTTCAGGTCGACTTTCAGCGCCAATTGCTCCCTGAGCACCACGTCCGGGTAGTGAGTCTGTTCGAATGTAGCCTCGAGTTGCTCGAGCTGCTCCTCGCTGAAGATGGTACGGTGGCGGCGCTTTCTCTTCGGCGGTTGATGCTGAGGGTGGTGACCGCCATTGGCCATGGAGGCGGCCTGAGACGCCGCCGCCAGCGCATGGACGTAACCGGGATAGAGTCCGGGATATGCCATAGCTGGAAAATATGTACCGTACATGTGAATGGACGGACTTTGCACTGGTTTAATTGCTGCAACAAGAATATAGGCATCGGAAAAAGTAATTTTTGGCCGGATCAAAACACCGCACCGGAAAAGTTCGGAACCAATCTGGTTTGCTCGGGGGGCTGTTTGAATATTGTTAAATAATAATATTTTCTTAGCGGTCTGCCGGGGGCGCTCCGTTTTTCCCCTTTTTCGCATGCATGAAGGAACTAAGAGAAGTTACTTAAAAACTGCGGGATTTTTAAATAAGGCGATTTTAATCTTGTGGGAATTATGTTTAAAAGCTTACTTTTATGGTCTGTTTGGTCTGGGAAGTTTTTTCTTTTATTATTTAGGACGTATGGGGCGGCGGGGGGTGGCGACTTGATGTGGAGGAAATGCAAAATGCGGTGCTGAGAACAGCTGAAGGTGATGTTTACGGGTTTAAGTCGCCGTGAATTCACACTTGATCAGACGCCGATCCTCGTCACATTACCACGGAATCTCCATATTCTTAGAGGATTTGCACAACACTTATTGATTTTCTACTTAGGTATTCCGGGCTTCAAGCGTGAATGCGTGCATAGTGATCAGTGTTGTGACTGACACGGTGTTCAATGGATTTTTATTTAGGGCAGATTTAGAGGAAGAATCACAAAGGTGAGAAAAGCTGGGCGGGGGAAGGGATGTGTGTGGAAGTGGTGTAGGCTTGAACGGAGAATTTTAACAAATTGAGTCACAGAGAAAAGTGAGCTTTCGAAGATATCTTTATTGATAGGAAAAATCTTGGGTCAAAGTTTTTACAAACAGGGAAAATTTTACTTCCCGAAAAAAAGCTTAGTCTACCACGTTAAAACACTTGTAAATAAACAAAAGTCACTAAGTCATTAAAAAAAAAACATTTCTCGATGGAAACTTCACTTTAGTGGGTGAACTCAAGGTCAGTTTCGAGCACACGCTGCTCACAATGACGTAATTAATTTACCTGCTACAAAGCTTTGACGCGAGCGATATTGGTTTGCTATTTACAAGCTGTGGTAGTCACAGACAATAAAACGGAGCTTATTAAAAACCGTCACTATGTAGAATACAAAACTGAAGCTTTCACGTTTAATTTATATTAAATAATTTTTTCAAGAGATTCATTGTTAGATTTTTATTTGCAAATTTTTAATACTTACTTTATAAAATGAATTAATTAAAATTATGCGGATACTAATTATTACTATACCTACAGGGTTCTAGTACAAAGTCCCGGAACGATCGAGTAACCATGTTATTTGAAATTTTTTTCTGAAATTTGCTTTAGATATATGGCGACTTGATTACAACATTTTTCCCTTTTTTATCGTTCTTGGTTTGACAGGCAGGGCCGCCTACTTTTTTTATGGAACGCCCAGATTTTTTCACATTTTCTGAAGCAGAATAAAAAACTACTCTCAGAAATTACGAACATGTTTATTTCTACAGATACAAATAATAAAAAAAATCACATAAAACATCAAGTATTGTAAAATCATACCTAAATAATTCATTGAGACATTTTGTTGATCGATTACGTCACTGCCAAATTGTAAACGGAGAACACTTTGAACATTTATTGTAGTCCCATTCATGGTTTATTATTTATTAGTATTCTCAGAGACGACGTGATTTTACAGTATTAGGTGTTTTTTGTGAATTTTTTGTTGATCATTTCTAAAATTAGTTTTTTATTCTGCATCAGAAAACGCTAACCAGACTTTTTTAATCATCCTCACCAACAATGTGATGACGTTATCTCAAAATTGTACGTAGTAAATGTTATTTAAATTTTATAAAACAGCATATTCCTATAACTGTAGTTTATGAATCTCTCTTATTTTTTGCCTTAGGTATCCGATTTTTATAAAAACTTCACAACACAATGCTTTGAAATCTTGCCAACATTTTAAGGTTATGGTAACTATGGTAAATTGTTAATCAAATTGTATTCGATAAATAAATAAAATAAATAAATAAATCTCCCTCCTAATATTGATAACGTCATCTCAAAATTTTGTGTAATAAATGGTTTATAAAATTTGCAAAATATTGTGAGTCGATATCTACGAATAATTGTGGTTTATCAGTGCATTAATATTTTTTAGAATTGTTTATACAGGGTGACTCAAAATAATTAATAAATGAATTGTGTTATTTTATTGATTAAATCAAGAACACTGCAGTTATTTAAATAGATATATCTACGTTTCCTTGCATAAATGTTGATGACGTTATCACGAAATTTTATAATGAAAACACTCACTTGAAACGTACGCATAGCACGCTTCTTCACCTTTATTTTAACATTAGATACCTACATATTTTTATTTTAACTTATACGAGTTAAGGACCAATTATTATTATTTTTTATAATATAGGGAAGTAATTAAAATTTGTTTAAGCGAACCCTCCAAAAAATTTGAAAAAGGATGCATCCACAATTTTTGTGACTGACTGACTCCTATTAATGTTTGTGATTTTTTTGTCAGGCTATAGCTCCAGACAAAATGACCCCGACAAAATAGCTCCGTGACAAAATACCTCAAAAAGAAATTATTATTTTTATTTCACAAAGTATACTAGTCCAAAAGGTATAAGGTTATATGACCATCATAAAAGTAGTTGACCGCAAATAAATACCCTCTTTGTGTGGTTCGCAATAAGCTTACCTGTTGGCAATAAATCGTCTTCTAAACATTTCTTGCTCACATTTAACAGGGCTGGCTTTCAAAGCGAGTGGTAATTTCGGAACCCTCAGCGGCTGCTAGTAAAGAAATAGTGGAGTGGTGGATTTACATATTTATTATTATTATTATTAAATAAACTTTATTTAGTGAAAGCTGCCCCTGAACGAAACCACAACGGCCGGTCGAGCTGCAGTGGACACGTTATTTACGATCCTAAAACCTTTTCTACTGTAAACATCTTAAATTTGACACAATGGGATGATTTTATGATGGCAATATAACCTTATAGCTTCTGGTAAAATGGCCGTCAAATTATACCTGGGGCGCGGTCGTGCTGCCACTCATTGAAGCGATTAGGGTGGTTGTAATTTTTATTACCCTCCACTGTTTGGGCACAGCATATCTCTTATTTAAGTACTAACTGAATAGTAACGCGGCATTCGCCCAAATTTATGGCATCTATAAGCTGTGGTTAAGGGTTCATTGACCGCTTGAGTCGTTCAGCTTATTGTGACGGCTACTTTATACTATACTGGCTAGCCAGTGAAATTTTTACAACCCTGCTCGTGCTTACACCGCCATGTATTTTAAACATTTTAAACTATTATAAGTTGAAATGACAGCCAAAAATGATTCAGGTAAATTTTCACTCACAATTGCTGCTTCCTCAGTAATATAGCTTGCGCCAGACTCATTTCAACACATCGAAAACGATAAATCGAAAAATCTAAATGACAGAACTAGACAACGCAGTAAATGCTATGACAAGTGCCATGATGACGTGCGTTTCCAAGGCAATACGTCTAAAGCTCATACGATGTTTCTTCAAATATTGGACCTTCTAGAGTTTTTAATAATTTATAATAGTTATTTACAAGTGAGAAACAAATAAAATATTGAACAATACACGCAAGGTTCGGGTTTTACTGGCTCCATATCCTTCTGTCCGCCAGTAAAAACCCTTTTACCATACTAGTAATGTTAAATACTATAACACACTAAATTTCTACTGAAGAAACAAACTGTTCTAAGAAAATCAACCAAATCCCAAATATAACATATGCAGCAAACACCAAATATGCAGTAGTATATATAATATGCGATTATGCCTCTATTTACAAATTAGCTAAAATAACAATTACTTAATTGAAAACAGAAATAAAAAAAAGACATATTTGTATATACTGTACAAGTTAGGAGTCGATATGTCTAATAATTTGGAACATGTTTTTGCCTGTCTATGATGTTTAATAAAGAATAGTGCATGCAAATATTTGTTGTTAAAATTTTGCTCTCTTCGGGAGATTTTTAGATAATCGGCTATTTTGACAGAGCTATTTTGTCGGAAGCTATTTTATGCGGAGCCATTTTGTCGGGGTGCTTTCGTCAAAAATAGAAAAAAAGTCGCGAATTATATTCTAAAATTAGTTTTAACTACACAGAGTGTTATGTTTTTAAGGTGTAACAGATAACTCAGTTCTTTTAAATGACCCTATATATTTCTACATATTTCAATTGACCTATTTCTAGGTTTTACAATTACAGTTTATTTTTGAATTTCCGATGCGATGTTGCCACATTATTTCAATTTTCTTGAAATTTTTTAGCAATAAAAGGATTACGAAAAAATCTTTAAAATCTGTGTTACAATAAACAAAGTACGCGCTTTATTGTCGTATAAATAAAATTAAATCTTCATATACAGAGTGTTTGTAAAAAATCTAAACCATCGTGCATTTTGTTACAGTAAGTATCTAAAAATTTTTCTGTATGTAAAGGTGCTCCGATTTTTTACTTTTTGAAGAGACACATCGTATTGGAACAATGTGAACAAAAATAGAGTAAGATGCAGTAATAAAATACAGGGTGCTCTATTCGAAAAGACTAAAATATACACATGTGAACATTCTAAAGTTTTAAACATTTTTATAAACACTCTGTATATTAAAATTTCATTTAATTTTTACCACAGAAAAGCGCTACCTACCTTTTTCTATCCCTCCACAAAATATCGTAAGAAGATTTTAAAAGTGACCCCTATGGGATTTTTTGTGAATCTTTCCATTACCAAAAAATTTAATGAAAGTTGGAATAACGTGGCAATATCGCATTGGAAATCCAAAAATAAACTGTGGTTATAGCCTAGAAGGAGGCTAATGAAAATATGTCAAAATATATGGAGTGTTCTATTAAAAAAAAAGTTGCCTCAAGAACAAAATACTCTGTATAGTTTAAAATAATTTTAGGGTATTTATATATCTAATATAATTAATAAGATATAGAGGACCGTGCGTTTAGTCACTCACCCTGTACATACAAACTACTTTTTAAAAATTCCTAAGAGAATATTTTTTTTGCTAGAATCATTTATACTAAATTAAATTGTGCACGGAAATTTTAATTTTTTTGTCCAAAAATACCTCTACAGGTTATATATAATAAATATGTACAGTGTGTTCCAAAAAATAGCCTTAGTCTGTAGCTATTTTTTTTGATACGTCAAATGAAATCGTTTTACCTAAATATATGATTTAATTTGAAAAATTAATTTGCAAAATTATTTGTCTTATGACCACCTATATATACTAATATACTTGTATTTTTTTTTCTGAATTCACTGATATGATCATCATACTTTAATATTCTCAAACATTAATAATTAAATATTTGCAAAAAAATATTGTATAGGTATCCACTGAATTATTATTTTCGTGTACTTAATATAAATTTAATTTTCAAATTTAAATACTTCTGTACATTGATAAAAGTTACCAAAATTGTCAAATTTGCTTCCAAAATGTATACTATGCCTACCTACACAATTGTGTCAATTGTGTCAATTGTGGGAATTTGTTGTTCTTTCGAAAAATTATGTTTTTTTGGCGCAGTAAAACAAAACTTAAGTACAATAAATTTTCAAAAAAATTGCAAATAAAACAACCTTTTCAGCAACATCTGAAATAATGGTAACTATACTTGAAATATGATTAAAATGACCAGCGATAAACCTATGCCTATTGGATTTTTTTTAAGTTTTAATATACGTTAGAAAAGAGAAAAGCAAAAAGTTCCTTTTTTTTTCTGTGAAACCCACACTTAATTTTTTTTTTGACAGATTTTTATCTACAACTTTAATCCCTCCACCACGTGCTCACTTACCCAGAAAATCCGCCGACGCCGCGCCGAAGCCGCCGGCGGCGGCGATGTGCCCCAGATGCAGCCCTGGGTGTTGCATCAGCGGCCTCGGCGACGCCGGCTTAGGTCTCGGTGCCAGGATGCTGTCGATCGTGAACAGGGAGCTCGCGCTTGTCGTGGCCGTCGCGGCGCCTCGCTTGAACACCGGCCGGAAGCCCTCCCCCAGGACCATGCTGCCGAGCAGCGGGCGCTGGCTCGGCTGCGCCGACGTTTCGACCATCCTGAAGTCGTCTTCACTGTACGTCTCGTCGGCGACGTCGCACCACTCCAGGTCACTCTCGCGTTTGACAGTAGCCAGTTTTCCGGCTTTCGTGCGTCGTCAGTGGCGGACTGGCACGCGAGAGGCATGTGTGCGTGGATGTTGAAGTTCGGGCCCGCCTCCGGAGCGGGATTGGCACCGAACGGGCGAGTCGGCCAATGGGGCGGCGGATGCGGGGTCGCAGCCGATGCGTTTCAGCGGCGAGCGGTGCGCGCTAAATGGTACAAATTGAGCTGTCGTTGGAAAGATGATATGTATTTAGGGGTGTTTTGTGTGGATGTGTGTGAGATGGGGTTGGGATGTGTTTATTAGGAGACGGGGTGGGTTTTTGGTATTATGATGGGAGATGTATGGGTCGGATGGGGATGGGGATGGGAACGTGTTTTATTTATGTAGGTACGAAGGAGGATTAAAGTGACGGAGAAGGAAAAAAATGTAAGGGGATCAAGGATGCTAACTGTACTGCGATTATGAATATTAGTTTGATAATGATAATTGTCAAGGGAGAATTTTGGGATAATCGTTTTTAGATCTAGTAGGTAGGCAGCGGATATAAAGAGAAGATTAAAATCATGTGACGAAGGAACTGGAAATTTCCATTACATTCTGAATCAACTACATAAGGTACTATAAAGAAAATTAAATCTTAATAGACATAAACGTGTTAGAAAATAATTAAAAAAGGATTTAGAAACAGTTTCTAATTGTCTACAATTTTTGTATTTAATGTTTTGTGCTAAAATAATTAGAGGAGCGGATTTTATGAAATTTGTATATCCGTTATTGTTTGCATACAAGTCTTGATATTTAATATGTACTGCACGAATCATGCTAATTAGAAATGAATACCTACAGCTATAAAAAAATTGCATATTTGCATATGTTTGCCTTCTGCTGCATATTTCACGTAACGGGTGCATATTTTGCATTTTTATTAATTTTTGTGCTGCTTTAAAAAAATGATTGACATTCTATCGGCATTTATCTAGAAAGACGAAATTTCATGAATCATATTGCTAATATTGTCCTGACTTTCAAAACTAGGAAAGGTTTGGGTTTTATGGTAGTTTGGAGAAAACACTGGGTCCTTCAAGGTAAATTCGGGCCCGAATTACTTTTGGAAATACCGTTAATTCCCAATCTTTTTGTTCGTGTATTAATAGTACCTACGTTTTATGGTGGTCGAAAGGACTTTATCCTGTTATTTTTCATCGTGAGTTTGCATTGAAAGCATTTAAAGCGATACAGGTCTGTCAATATGTCGAAAATAACTCAAATTAATTTATGGACTAAACCTTTTCCTGAAATTATTCTTCAAGAAGGAACTTTGTTTTGTCGTACCTGCTCTAAACCGATAAGTATTTTTACATCTGTGGACGTAGGACGCAGTTTTTCTATTTACAAATACTTAGGTACATACTTTAGAATCGAAAAATATTTCAGAATAAATTGTTACCAAAATAGTAATTAAATAGTCGATTACTACTATTTTTTAATTTGTTCTGTTTATATTTATACTTTAGTATAAGAATATTATCTTTAAAAATGTGACTTTTGTATTTTTTGTAATAAAACGTAAGCTCGGGAAACCTCTTTTGTAATTTGTAAATAAATTTAGTTGTTATTACGTTTTTTTCTAATTTTTGGAGCATATCTCTGCATATACTAAGAAAGTTATTGCATATTTGCATAAATTTGATGCATATCATATGATCATATTTCCCAAAATTTTGCTGGATATTTTCCGCTGTCTACTTATGTATAATATTATTATTTTCAAATCTGGATTTTTGGGTGGAGAATTCATTTTTGAACTACCTATCTACAGTTTAGAGGATTTACTTTATAAAAAAATCAAACGTAAAATTACGATGTTCAGAAGTATGTACGTATTTTGTCTTGTATTTGAAAAGTACCTATTGATATTATTTACCGATTTATAACAATATCTTCTAATATAACGGTCACTTTTAAAATTCCTTATATTATTAATTCCACAAATGTTAATTTTTTAAAAACAGAGAGAATGGAAACCACATTTCACGGTGGTGGAACTTATTTTGTCTCTAGCATGCGACAAAAAATTACTGGACACCCTGTATTATTGACAAATTTTCATCAATTTTACATATCTATACGCATCATAACTAAGCATAATTTTTTCCTTCGTTTACGTGATAACTATTAAGTAAAATCTCTGTAGGTATCTAAGTTATTTAAAGATTTAAATTGACAAATTTTGTGATTGTTCTAGTTGTGTGAATTTTGCAATGCATTGCTGAATGAGAAAGGTTTAAAAACAAAGAAGATATGCAAATCAGATGTAATTCAGCTTTGGTTATAATTGGAATTTGAAATTTATGCAATGTACATCCTTTATGATCTGATGAATAATTGCAACTAATTACAGGTGGCTAGTGTTAATTTATTTTTTGTATATTCTAAATAATTGCATATTTGAGATTATCTCGTGGAAATAATTTCCTCTCCCTCCATTTCTTAGAATAAGAAAACTGCAGAAATTATTATTTATTTTATACTTATAGTCGTTCTCTTAAATTCATTATTTTTGTTTTTTTGTGATGTTAAATTAGTACATTATGGAACTAGTGGATGAAGTTGAATTTCAACGGCGAGAGTGATTTTTTCACACGAGCGAGTGCAACGAGCGAGTGCGAAAAAGAAACTCGAGCCGTTGAAATTTCTTCATCCGCGAGTTGCATATACTATTTTTTCTAAGAAATTAGGAAATAAATGTTTGTTTATGGTAGGTATTTTATTTTTGAAATACATTAACTGTAATAGAACAATTTGTGCAATTATCACCAATAATATTTACACTTTTATCGTAAGTATTATTTGAACTTGTATCTTTGTTTAAACTTAGTTGGCTGCTTCCTGTATCAATAACTGCACTTGTATCAGATTCGAAAATGCCGCATTGGCAGCATTCAAAATTTCTTCAGAAACTTCGTCAGTCTCACTCATGTTCATTGTTTTCACTTGTGTAAACTAGCAGTATTAAACGTCAAACACTAACGGGTCGTCCAGCCTAGGCGTCATGATTTTCGAAGCGCGCGAAGCGGACGGTGCGGTCGGTGCAGGCGATACGCGACACGTTTCGCTAGCTGCGAAACGCTCAGGCTGGACGACCCGTTAAAATCGTAGACGGCCGAGTATTTTTCCACTAGAGGGTGAAATGAAATTTCATCCACTGCCAGCGATGGGAAAATGACAAACTTCAACCTTAATGAGTAGAAAATAGTATATTATTAGCCAAGGTTGCAGAGCCAAGCATTCTAGACCGAGCGCAAATTAGAACCCGAGACGCGCAGCGTCGAGGGCTCTAAGTGCGAGGTCTAGAAGTGGCTTTGCAACCGTGGTTAATATACTATTTTTTTCACTAGTAGAAACCATAAAACAATAAACTGAAAAATAAACGTTCAATTTTTTAACGCAACGTGATTTTGTTTTGATTTCTAATCAAACTTGATCTAAATCTTCAACACAAAGAAAACCGTTTATACTTGTCGCTGAGTTAATCATTTTATCTTCTACCGTCTACCAACTACCATGCGTATGCTCAAGTAATGTTTGTAGCACACATTTGTTCATTTTTTAAGAAATAATCACATCAAACATTGCGTACATAACCTCAATTTTTCTTTTTGAACCCGTGGTAGCAAAAGTTGAATTTGCTACCACTAAATGAGTCGGCATTTGCATGCGTCCAGGCTGCTAGTGAAAAAACGTTATTTTTGCAACACTTATGTCATTTTTATCCATATTTCAGTCATTTTGCATTACCGTGGAAACCCAAGTGGAAACATGATTGTGAATTCGTTGATTCAACGATAATAATTATTAATTAAAACCATTTTTGAAATTCTCTTTAATATTTCTCTCCCGATTTGGTTGGAAATAAGCTCGCGTTTGCTTTTAACGCTTCTGTTTTATTCCTCTTGTACTATTATGTTTGTTTCCCTCGCGTTTATGTTCATTGAAGAAAAACCTCTGGCATTAAAAACTTGACACAATCATAGAATAGTAAACAATCGTTGCGAGATTTAATACACAGTTTACAAAAAGTTTTTGCAAAACTAACTCTTGTCTTATTTTTTTACAAATGTAATTAAAAAAAAAGAAAGAAGTACCTACTCCTATAAAATAATTATTATTTATTCCATCCGAATTCATAAAATTAACCAACTCGCTCGCTTCGCTTGTTTATTATTACTTTGCATCCAGGGCTTCGCCAGGTCCGTATTCACCACGTTTCATTGAACTAATGATAAAAACATTTAAACTGATTTTATAATTCTAGCGTTAACAATGATTATAATAACATTATAATGTACGAGTATAAAAGAATAAAACATTTATTTTACAATCACGTACTTATATAGCTAACGAGAAATTTAGAAAACGTAATAACGAGTCCTGTCCTGATTATTGTTTCTAGGATTGTCTAAGTAAATCGTCCGGCGACAGACTAAAAGAGGTGGAGTCATAAATTTCGGTACGTTGTAATCTCATTAGGGTCGTCTTTGTTGCGTAATTTGTATACTACCTCCTCATTACGGTCATTAAAATCTGCCGAAATACGGCAAAACGCCACTTCCAATATCATCCTTACGATAGCACTTGAAGACTTGTGCGACATATATATCTACTTGTTCGCAATACGAAAATCTTCATTAAATTAAATTAAATTTGATAGTAATAATAGTGTTCATGAGTGATCAAAGATATTATTATACAAATAAAGCAGGTATAAAAAGATGGGGTGCATTAACGTTATCAGTATTTAGCCTATTTACTGTGGTAAAGTAAGTACTTAAATCCGACAGGTCTCTTTGTCGTTATGATTTATTATAGCTTTAATCAAAGTTTCTTAAACTGGTGCGGCGAGAATTTGTATGATCCACAGACCGGAGCGCGCTCAGACCACTGTCGACTCTATGTATAAGAATCCAGAAATTCTGTGGGAAATAGTTATTACTTAGATGCTTTTATTTATAAACATATATCACATCTCACATGTTTCACTCGATTTTGACAAGCAACTATTTTTTTGTTTAACTAAGAATTAATTCTTTCATTGTGTTTGATACTAACGTCCTAAATTAGCAACACTAGTGGAATACCTAGTAATCATGCAATAGATTTTTTTGGGAAAGTACAGTTATTTTTATGTTTTAGCAGCGTTGTTTTCTAGTTTCTATTAATTTTTACATATTTTTAGTCACAATTTTGGTAGTTACTTTTTACTTTACTTTTAGACATAATAAATAGTCCAAACATGGAAAAATAAAAAAAATAAAAATTAGAAAATCTAAAATTTAAAAATCGAGAAATTAAACAATGGTATAATTGAAAAATCGAAACATCGAAAAATAAAAAAAAAATGGAAAATCGGAAATTTAATAAATTCCGAAAATTGAAAAAATTGAAATATGCATAGAAGAACTGAAAACTCGAGAAATCGAAAAATATAGAATTTTAAAAATTTAAAAATTAAAGTATCGAAAAGTTGAAAAATTGAGAAATCGAAATAAACAACCAAAAAATTGAAAAATCTAAAGTTAAAAAAACGAAAAACTGAAAATCGGGAAATCCAGAAGTCGAAAAATCGTAAGCTTAAAAAACCAAAAACCTGAGAAATCGAAAAATTGAAGAAGTGAAAAATCGAAACTTTGGGAAGAAATGGGAAAATAAAAAAATTACTTCAGAAATCGGAAAACTGAAAATTTAGAAAGGTCTTTTTTTTTTAAATTGAAAAATCGAAATATTTCGAAATCGTAAAATTGGAAAGGACTAAAATTGAGAAATCGTATCATTGTGGGTTTCTCAATCTATTTTCTGCAGCGTTTTAAACTTTCAACTCAATTTCTTGCAAAATTCATAGAAATGGACTTCGATGGTTATTCCCCTGTACTCTTCATTTCCGGATACTTAAATAAGCTTATCTGGTGTTGTTTATAAATTTGCATTTTATGACGGACTCCCTACGGTGACCATAATCTCTCCTCTCTTGGGTCAGTACCTGTAGTTGTATTAGTTACAAAAAAAAATTCTTCTCACTGGAATCAATTTTGTATGTACGTGACGACTGTACACCCTTAAGAAATAAAATGAGCTCATTTAGAAAAAACCAAAGGTGATGTATTTCTAAAACTGCATGATTTCACTGACGGATAGCTTCTTTATAAATATGTATTCATTTATGGTTTCATATTTCACATAGGTATCTATTTTTCCAAATAATTGGAACATTAGCGGATAATAAGTAGATATAAATGGGAAAGGCATTATTTAAATTTTTGACGCAATAAACCAAATACATATCAGTTACTACATCAGTGAAAAAATAAAAAATACTGCATTTAAGACATTTAATAAACATTTTCTTTTTGATATATATAAGATTCACGTCCATTGTTCAGCAATAATGAGGAGAGAGGACCAAACGAAACACTGATTATTGAGCCAACGTTTTGAGAATTATTTTCTCTTCTTCAGGGCTAGTAATCACTTTAAAATATAATATTGAACATTGTTATTTTATAAACTAACACAAGAATAAAATTTTCGTTAAAAACGGTTGAATGATGAAATGTCATTTCTTTCTGTTTGCTCTAATGTCATTTCATTTTTTAGATTTCGAATTTCTATCATTAATTGTACGTATATACAAAACTAGAATTCAAAAATATGTAGATTAACCAACATTTTTTTTTTAATTTTTAAAATGAAAATATTTTATCTTCAATGAACATTTGTTTGACGTTTGTTGCAACATTCCAAATTGTCGGAAACTTGACGACATTCATGTTGCTATAACAGATACCTACTTTTTGAAGCTTTGGCGAATAAAATAACTGAAAACATGTTTATGTATTTTTTTATGTATTGTTTAATGAATTTTTAAAAATTAACAACATTTCGAACGTATTGTCACCTAAATTATTTCTTCTTGGTGTCAGAATTTGGTTTCCGCTACTAAACACCCGTTCCACAGGTGCAGAAGAAGGGATTGTGGTATTAAATTAAAAAAAATAAACATTTTACTGCAGCATAGTTATTCAAGACTGAAAAATCTTTTCTTTTTTCCTGCAAATAGGCCATGGCTTCTCTGTTTGATGTGTCGCAAATTGTGCAATATTTATTACGTACGCTTAAAAAGAATATTTTTTTTTGTTTTTATTCCCATACTACAGTGTCCAAATTGTATTTGAGTATATCTAATAGTTATCTCCAGCATTAAAATTAATATTTCAAAAGAATACGGGAAATGATTATTCTGTGCTGCAGGTCATAAAGTATTATTCTTCAATATCGGCTTACGATGTTTTTATTACCATGTCCGGTAATCCTCTATCCCGGTGCGGCAGGTATATACATACATTTTAGGAAGAATTTCTGGTTCCGTTTAAGGCAAAATAAGTAGTACAATTTCTTAGAAAGGTATTTAAACCCCTTATAGGATCAGAGTGCAACTTTAAATTTTCAGATTTTTGTTGAAACTCATTTTATTTTAATCTCGTTTCACGATTTCTGAGAATATAGGTATCACGATAAATTATTCTACCGAGGGTTCTAAAAATTAATTTTATTGCCCAAGATTTACACTTAAACATAATCGGCACATTCTAGGGCAAAACGGACCTGCCAAGCCCGCCTCGCGTTAGGTCCAACAATGAAAAAGTGAAGAAATGACACATGTGGCAACAGGAAAAATGCTACATTTGTCTGAAAAATAAAGGTATAAAACAATAACAAATATGCCATTTATGCGAGAGAAATGTATGTATTGAACATTAGATTAGTCGATTACAGAACTAATTTGTGCTAATTGAAAAAATTAATCATTATGTAACACGCAATTATTATTTTCTAAAAATAATAATATACCTTAAACAAATATTTTTACTATTAAAATTACTCTTATTTAATAACACAAATACAACCAGCGGGCCTACCGGACCCGGGTTGCTCAGGTACACAGATAAAATGCATTGCCCCGATAAGCGTAAAACGCAGTGAATAGTGAATTGTGATTTACGCTTAGATTTATTACCCCTCAGGATTATATGTATTTAAAGATGTATAAGTACTGAAGGCTACAATGTAGGAAATTATGGTATTTAAAATATGAAAATTTCCGTGACAGAACACTATTAGTGGACCTCTTATCTCTATTTTTGTTTATGTGACCAAAATCACCAACATGAAGTATCAAAAATGACTACTAGTAATACTCAACTAATAACTACTGAAAAAAAGTGCAATAAAAAAATGTATCTGTATCTGCGCCATTAATTTTGTATCTAGATACAGATATTTTGTGCTTAAATTCGATTTTAGTAAGTAGATATCTAGATACTGCCCAACACTGGTTAGATATGATACTCATTATTGTAGGATTTTTTAGATTTTAGGGTCCTGTAATTCCTAAATAATTGTTAGTGTCTTACTAAAACCTTGAAACTACCTACAGTAATATTTCATATTTCAAGCTAAATTTTTTTAGACCCACACAAATCGTAAAGTTAAGAACAGGAACAAATCCTTGAAGAGCTAATAAACGAGCATCTTACGTGCATATTTAATATGACATTTCGTTGACAACGTCATCAGTTTTTTAAGGCGATTGGCAAATAATAGTAAAAATAATGTTTAAAATTCGAAGTAGGTACACATTGTCTGTCTAATAATAAAATAGCTAGATTAGATTAGACGACAGATGTGTGGAAATGGAACGCCGCCCTTTCGTAATCTCCGAACTGTGAAACGCAACGTGAAATTAGACATTCGTTAACCAATCCTGCTACAAAAATCCCCATAAGATACAAAAATCAGAGTTCCATTCAGGCTTTCCCAAGTCTCCAAAAAGATTAATAATTAAAGGGGTAGTAAATCTACTTTTACTACCACTGAAAATTGAAACCCCATGATATTGTCTCTTTAAGTATTTAAAACAGTTCGTAATCAATCCAAAGCTGTGTATTGAGTATTGATTTTCGCGTAAAACCTTAAATACCCACATAGATTTGAAGCAGCTACAAAATAATACCACAAAATCGCCGTCTTCTCTCGTTATAATAATATATTTTGTAATTTTTACAACTAATTAACAACTGAAAAATAAACAGTTTCATGTTAATGTTGAAATATTATTTTAGTTTAGTAATGTAATCACGCAAAATCCATTTTGCCTCCTCAATCGACGCATCATCTGCCGAACGTCAAAACACATTACCTGTAAAATTTTCAAAGGACATCAAAGCTCCTTAACAGATGAAAGCTGACATTACGAATGGCTTGCATCGTCAAGGATATCCCTCCCTCCATTCAAAGGGGCGGAGTCCTAAGAATGCCATCTTTTATTGGCCTAGAGGCGGGGTAATCGTATCAACTTTTTTTTAGAGTAATCTGGGTAATCCCCTACAAATGGAACCGGCGGGTAATCTCACTCATCGGAAATTTCCATCAAACAAAAAATTAAAAAAGATTCTAATTTCAACCACTTCATGACAAGTGTGAAAACACTGAAAATTAGGCAACCAACAATACATTTACATTTTTTACCCAATTTAAAACCGCTCCTAACAATAAAAAAATACAAATGATTCTCGTTGGAAAATAAAATTTCCCCAGACACGTTCGAAAAATCCTTTATTTTTCAGTTTTAAACATTTTCTAGCATACTGTCTACACTTTTCACGTCGTCACCATCAAACACAAACCATTTCTTCTTATTAATTAAAAAGAGCATCATCAACAACGGCAAGTGAATTAACGAAAATCGGAACAACTTCCGCGACGTTTCGCTGGACGAATCTTTGTAAAAATTGTATGCTACAAAGACAGGTTAGTTTAATTCAAAGTGTGAAACCATCTCACCTAAATAAATAAAATATAAATTAAGAGGTGTAGCTTCTAAAACGAACCACCAGTTGGTAACGTCTAAGTATGGGGCCGCTAACGTCATGGCTTCAAGCGCTATGGTATGCCTTAAAGCCACCCTCCGACACAACCCCGGATTTGTAACAGCCATCATTCTATACCCAGCTCTTGAATAATCAGGACGTAAATTCCAAGATAGAGCGTTAAAGTGTGGGAACTGCCAGGAGTATAAAATAGCGGCCATTAGCCAAGCCCCTGGACCCAGAGAGTTGGCGCAGGCGGCCCAACCCATCAACGGTGGAATAGCGCCCACTAAAAAACACCCATTATTTTTACAACTTTAATTAAATGTAGTACGCACCAAGAGAGCCCACCCACGTGTTTAAAATACTAATGCGCTTGAGGGGTGTATAAATCGAGGTGTATAGAATAAAATTGGCCAACCCTAAACTGGCGGTCAAACTATTAACCCCGTAGTTTAAAATCGCCAACCCACTCAGACTTGTGGTTGCTGCAAACATCATCGCGTGCAGCTGCCTGCAACCCCAAAAATTAAAACACACCCATTCATAATTAAAATAATTACGTTAGTCTTCCACACACTAGAACCCGATGTTTTGTTCTTGACATTTGTGCATCAAATGGCACTTCATGAAATTGGTTAACAGCGTTGGCCGCTCCTGATAGTAACCCTGTACCTATTGTACACATAAGAAATGGGGCTATTTCAAACGGTGCAGGGGCCACTGCATAGCCCGCCATTGACGTCACCACAACAAGTGCTACAAACAAATTGTTATTATGTAACTACCTAACACTGATGATTATTACTAGTTAGGCGAAACTTTGATAGTTTTAGATAGTGCCGCACGATGTTGGTGTGGTTGGTGGAGGGCGTGGGGCGCCATGGAGGTATAAAAGTTGGTTTGCGGGGGAACGCTGCGGCCACATCTTCCGTCAAGTCGATAGTGGTGGCTTTTCGGTCTGATTTGTTGACGTAAGTGGCTGCGGGGAGTGTAAAGTACACATGTTTCTACAAAAAGGGGGTTACTGGGTATCGTTTTAAATATTGTAGTTACCTTAAGTAAGAGGTTAGGAATGTGAGAATTACCTAACACTTTGCGGCAGCATGATTTTAACTGGAAATGGAAGATATTTGACATTATATGGTCAACTGCAGTTAAATTAATAACATTTTATGTAGTTTTTACGTCACTGATTAGGTTTAAATGAAAAGTTTTTTGAAAATGTATCGATCGAAGTTTTGAGGTTAGGCATGTGATGTTGACAGCCACATTGACAGAACGATTCGAGGATCGAATGTTATCGGTTGTTTGGTGAAATACCGATGACCAGTGTAGGCATATTTTCGTGGAAACTTGATAAAGTCGACACCATAGAACTGTGCCATAGACTTGGAAATAATGATCAAACGTGATTTTTTTATTGTCATTTATTAACTGAACAAAGGTACAGCACAGTTTTCATGTAAAATATCCCTATTTGTGACCACAGGAGTAACTGTAATGATTATATTTAATCTTGAGGTTTGTTGAGAAATCGTCCTCAATAATTTTGTGGCACCAGGGGATTAAAATTTAATTGACATAAAAATTCTACTAAGTCTGATAAAAAAAGTGATATTTTTCGTAATTATACACTTTATTAGTATTGTTTTGTTACAAACGTACTGATAAGTAATCTGTAAATAAACGCCACTCATCCGCAATTGAGCCGATTACCTTATGAACGAAATAGAAACAATATCACTCATATTGAACGAGACAGGACTAATATAAATTGCATAAAATCTATAAATTTGTTTAGTTATGACGATAAATATATAAAAGATTAATATGAATAACATATTCCACTTAACTATAATTACGCTACCATCTTGTACACAACATGTTTAACTATACAATAACCAACCTTGCATCTCATAGTAATGCACAAAATATAGCAGTTTGTGCCTAAAAGACATTTTTTTAAATATAACGTTACATTTATGTATAAAAAAGTCTATATTGGTGTAAATTTATCTCATAATGAACACATTTTTTCTTGCACCTCGTAAAGGGGTTTCATTTATGAATATCATAAAAAATGTAAACGATATTACGTAAAAGCATGCGTTCGTTCAGCTAAATAAAAATACTCTCGAGTGCAAGGTGAGTTACCTACACTTAAAAAAAGAACATCCCGTAAATATGTGAAAGAAAGTCGAATAAAGCACCTGGTCGTAAAAGTTGAATTTTATTTTCAAAAATAACTAAGTAATTTGAAGCCCCACCACTACCTATGTTAAATATCATTAACAATAAAACAATACGCTTACAATAGGAGAAACTGATTTAGAACGCAGACGTAGTGCCTTTAGTGGCTATGGAGAGCGAAACCGTTACCACACCTAACTCCACAATTCACAACATATATGACTTAACAAATTAAAGTGCTCCAACTCTAATAACGTAATCTCTATAATTCTTTACTGTACTTAATTTTAGAAATTTAGATTATAGACTCCATTTAACAACAACCTTAACCTACGTCATTTCTCTCCAAGCTTTCGTAATGAAAAAAAAAAAAAAGATGAGAATTATCGCGGCAAGGTTACTAAATGGTAACAAAAAATTGATCTATCTACACTCTACGGTGAAAATAAAATTAAGTTCCTGCACTCTTGCAGGTTATCACGTAACATCCACAATTAAACTAGTTCATGGTAACCATAACAAAGAAATAAATATGTAAACAAAATTCAACTAAATCAAGCTTTAAAATAAAATGCCACACTATACTGGAGGTAGATCGTTAGATACATCCATCATCGAAAGCCTCCGATCAATGAACATAAGATCGTCGTTATTCGCGTTGCGCACACCTTGCGTCGCGAACCCCCCACCACCCCTCTGGTAATTGTCTAACCTAACCGAATTTGTGTCCATGTTGATCGCATGCGCCGGTCCGCCGAACCCGTGATGGTTGTCCAGCTGGTTGAACGGCTGGAAGTGGTTGATGACGCGCGGCTGCCCCGCCATCACGTGATTGTTCACATTGACGGGGATCCCCCGAGGACCCATCATTTGGTTGTCCAATTGGTTGAACGGCTGGAAGTTGCGGACTACTCTCGGATTATTTATATAACTATTATCTACACCTACGCGCGAGTTGTTGTACGGTTGGAATTGGCTACGTGACGGTCCGGCGACCGCGTGGTTGTTGACGTAATTGTGGTCAACGATGTGGGCGGGGGCGGCGACGGCGGCGGCGGCGTCGTTACTGAAGTTACGTTCGATGCGGGGCTGGCGCCGGGGAGGACGACTTTTCACGCTACTTTTGTACACTTCTTCTAAAACAGAGGGGGCGACGTACGTGAACCCCTGAAAAGAGCTCATGGATTAAGCTGGGAATCACCGATCTTGGGGACACCGGCCGCCGACTCAACTGGTCCTACTTAATCTATATATTGTAATCGCAAACTCCACCTTCATTTCGACGCCGTTTTTAATTTAACCAATAAAAGAAAAAGTTTCATTCATATTTTAGTTTCCAATACTCAAAATAAAATATAAGAAAAATATTCACGAAAACCAATTTTGTGACAAAAACACCCCAAAACAAAATGTTGCGGAATGTACTTACCAAAAACCACACTATATTCCGCCATATTCTTTAACATAGGTCCTCCAATTTTCTCGAGCAGCTCTAAATTTTTAGTTCTCAACCTTTACGAATTTAGTAAAATTTGCTCCACATATTTTAAAAAGACATAATCGACCAGTCGAGTGAAACCCCCGGCATCGCTCTTTCTCACCTTGAAGACCTCGTTGGCGCTTTCGCTGAGGAGGGAGTCGTCCGGGGAATCAACGGGCGTTTGCTTCGTGAACTTATTATCGAAATTCGAAGTGTCGTCTTGGTTCTTCTTCAGCATGCTCTCCGGCACCGGAGGCGTGACCCTCTTCGCAAGCACGTCCTCCCAGTTGACGTTCTTGAAGAAAGAGTGGCCTTTGATGGCCGAGGCGCCGTCGACGGTGCCCAACCGGGCCGACACTTGTCTCTTAAGCAATTTGCGAATCAAGTCTTTAGAGTCTTGGGTGAGGTAAGGTGGAAGGAATAGTTTGCCCCTAAGGATCTTCTCTATTGTCTTTTTGCGGTTATCACCTTGGAATGGCGGCTGGAAATTTGCGCGAATAAAAATTTGATAGTGGCGATGAATTACGACAACGCTACATTTACGAAAACAACGTTTCGACTTAGAAGTTCCGAGAGATCCAGGACATGAACGATTAATGGCGTTTGCATGTCTGGATGGACGGGTTTTGTCTGTACCTACCGGGGAGTCCTGTTAGGACTAGAAATTTTGAACGAACCTGGTTTTCGTTTTTCGCGTAGCGTTTGGAGACGTATTTTCTCGGCGAATTACAAATAAATGGAGGCTACAACAGAACAACAGAGGTCATAAATTAGGGATGAATTTCGAAAAAGCGTGCAATTTATAATTAAAATAGGGTTGTTTGTGATTTCTGTTGGTGGTAGGTGTATTTTAATGAGTTTTCCATTTCGTTTTTGTGACTAACCAGTAAGTGGCTTTCTAGAAACAGGGGTCTACAATAATCGATAGTCTACCTACTTACTCAACGTGGGTATGAAAGGTCAAGTTTGATTTTTTTTCAAAACGTCTACATAATTTTTTGTGCTTTCTGTTTTCCCTCATTTATGGGTCAAAAATTTGGTAGTTATTAAAGGTCGCAACTAAGCAATAATTATAAGTGACGGTTGATTTACAACAATAAATTTGTAACAACAATTTATTAACAATAAACAGGGACAAGGTGATCTGTGATGTCTGAACACAGTGGCAATTTTACTGCCATATTTGGGTAGATTATTCATAAATTCGTGTTAACAATAGCGTAATTACTAAAATTTAAATTTTTGGTATTAACTTTTTTGTAATATGATTAACTAACCCGCAGCGGCGATCTTGTTGCAAGATCGTAAAACAATGGAGTTATATAATATAAAAAAGGTTTCGCAAAAATACAATTTCTCAAATTTTGCTAAAAATCCATTTTCCAAGTGAGCATCAATTACATAATTACCCAACCTTGAAAGTCGCGTTTCTTTCATAGAATCTTCACTCAGTAGATAAAAGACTTCATAATCATTACCCGCTGTCGCAATTTACACAAAAGTCAAGGTCACTTCCGGACTTATCTTGCCGATAAAAAACCAAACCATCTTCTATTTGACCTCTTGATCAAATTTTATCCTTCGTTTTCACCGTATTTGTTTTATTCGTTTAATCCTCGATAATTATGCGTTACGGGAAAATACTTCTAATACAAAAATAATGAGTCACGGTGATTTACAATACCGCATGTCATTATGCAGGTAGTGACCCATAATTATCTCCAACCAAATAAATTCAAGAGATAATGGTAAATAGTTCTGAACATGGTAATTAAGTCGTCAACACGTATGCGGGTAGAAGTCACCATTCTTACGTTACAAGTGTTCTATTGTTAGATTTTTCAGATAACGTTGTCAACAATTCATGATTAAATCCTAGATTTAACGATTTAAGTTTAAATGACGTCATTAACGCTTTCAATCAGAAGTCTGACGTAAACGAGAAACCCCGCAAATAAAAAACCTACGCATTTTGTGATGACGTAGAAGTGGAAATACTTACAGCTCCCGTCAGCATGTCGTAACATAAAGCTCCAAATGACCACCAATCCACTTCTTTTCCGTGGCCGCTACGGGTGAGGATTTCGGGGGCCCTATGTCAAAAATGGTCACATTTTTGTTTTTTTTTTTTTTTTTGTTAATTTTCGAAACTTACATGTATTCGATCGTTCCGCAGAAAGTATGCGTTAAGACCCCGTCCCTGATATGTTCTTTGCATAGACCAAAGTCAGTCAGTTTGACGTGACCTTTCGAATCTAGTAGAACATTCTCAGGTTTCAAGTCTCTGTAGACGATACCTAGGAAATGGAGATGTTCAATGGCGAGTAAAATTTCAGATAAGTAAAAACTAGAAAAAAAATCATGAGAACGATACTTTGGTGGTTTTAGTAATAGTTACATTGCTGTTTCTTCTAAAAGGAGCCCTTCCTTCTCCAACATGGTAAAAAGTTCTCCCCCTTGTAAAAACTCTAATATTAAATACAATTTCCCGTTAGTTTGATAGGCGTAGATTAATTCAACTATAAAAGGATGCTGCAAAAGAGACATGTATTTTATGCCGACGCAAAATGCGAAGTGCAACCTTAACAGCTTCTAAAATATTGCGTTCAGCCTTAGTATGTGCAGTGTCTTTCTGATTTCTAACAATGGAAGCCTTGTGTAGAATTTTCATAGCGTAAATACTCTCCTTGTCGGCGCCCGTCTCCTTGATAACTTGGAAAACTTTCCCGTAGCCCCCTTTACCCAAAACGCTGAGTATGCGGAAATCCTCATTTCCGATCTTTTTCCCCTTATTGACGCTCTTTTCGTCGACTTGAACCCTCTCCGTATAGGCGGTGCTAAACACGTTTGAAACACATGTCATTTATCTTCAAAATTTCAAAAAACCAAAAATAAACATGCATTACTTTATTAGCTAATCTTAATCAAAACAACAACTTTCGTGGTGTTATCAGGCGGCTTAAAGCAAGTGTGGAAGAGATATGGATACTTACTCGACCATATCAGACACATCTGGTTGTTCATCATACTGATCCTGAAAATTTCGCAACAATTAAAAACGATTAAGTTAATCTCGGCGATTGGGGGTTTAAGTTCCAGATTAGCGTGTTAAATTGGGGCGTTTGCCCCGAGGCAAAGCCCCCCGAAACTCCACTCCTCCAACACCTGATTTACGTAAAAAGAAGTGAAATTGTTGTTGCACAAGTCCATTTGATGCAAATGCCATAAGGTGTGACATTGAAACGGAACGAGTTTCGGAGCGCGATAAGATTACAGACGGGCGGATCAAGTGATGGTTTCAAGACACTTGTCTCGTTTTATTTTGACCAAAATTAACCCATCTGATTACCTCTGTGATGTCTATAGCATCATCTTCATCGTCCGAATTCTCGGGTTGTCCATCGTGTATCTCAATATCGAATATTCCAGCCATGTTTCGTTGTTAAACGACGCACTGATTTACACTAAACATAACACTTCTCACCTGAATTTATCAAAAAGTGGGTGATATTGGCTACGGTTTGTGCTTTACAAAGTTCCAGACTTTAGTGTTCGCACGACAACACCATAATCATAGACCACTCATAATATTGGGTTATGTCCGACGCAGGTTAGTCAATGTGAAATGCTAAAAGTACTAAATGGTGATTGGGCGGAGGCGTTGCGCCAAATTTGAAATTCGAACGCACAATCGTGGAAACGTAAACTACTTTGAGTGAAAGTTGGACGGACTTTCTTAATTATTTCGGTATTGTTACTTCGCTTGATCCGCTTATACAGACTAATTTGAAAGTGAACTCGTTACCTGATTTTGAGGTTTTTCCACGAAGCGCAATCGTTACGTTTTACATTATTGAGGCTACTGAAGGAATGAAGGATCAAATTCTAGACCACATACATATTAAACCATCAATTTGAGTGCATTATCGTTGTTTAGTATCTTCATAACGTAATTTGGCTTTCAAGAGATTTGTTTACTGAATCATGTGTTAACACATTGAGTATATTGAAAGCAAATATTTTAAGACAATATTTGCCGTATACTTGTAGCCTTGTACTCGCATATTTGCGCATAATACTATTATAGGAGTAATCTAACACAGTACACCAGTGTAAGTAAAAATTTATTTAGTATTATATAGGCAACCAAGAATACACGCGGACTCCAATTGCCAACTTACAGAAATAAATATTCTAAGATTTAAAAAATTAAAACAGGAAACCAAATCAATTTGATGTATTATTGAGAGAAGTGCTATTGAAAAGTCTGTCTTTGATCATCTGCGCCATCAATCCGTGAATAATCTCAATCGTGGTCTTGCAGCTATCTTTCGTCGCTTTCAATAACTTATCTTCAGTCCTCTTCTCATGAGGATCCGTCCCTCCAACTATAAACCCTCCACGTCCTATAGCAGCCTCCGATTGTTCCAACTTCTCACTCAAATCGAAAATTTGCCCCGTCGTATAATCAGCGTTTGTTAACAAGCTGGAAGAACTCAAAGTATTCACCCAATATTTATTCCAAAGTGAGTCCAACAACCGTCTATCGAGTGACGACTTAAAATACGAAACTTCCAAAGAATAGTATTGCTTGCAATGTACCCCAAAATCCTCTATTTTATTTAAAGGAATAGTCTGGTACTCCGACGGTTCTTCATTCGCGGGCTTATACCCCTTAGGGTACGTCCTAAAAGCCCCTAAACATACTTTCCCTGCCGAAATCGTGCGCACCGGATCTATCACAATAGCCACAAACGGCTCCTGGAAATTCTGATTCAACATCTGAGTCCCTACATCAATCCCAGACAACCAACAACCATAACCTGGATGGCTATGATACCACCCAATTGCATTTTCCTGTCTTCCTACCAACTTCGCCGCTTCTATATACGAACTCATGTACTCGTACGCCTGTGCTTGCGCGTTTACCCGTGTTTCAGTCCCCTCAACAGGCAAAGCAAACGAATCCATCACAAACATGGTATTACCGTCAACTTTTCCCAAAATTAGACCCATCACTTCGAGAGTGCCCCCAGAACGAGCGTGCATTACCATTTTGAGAAGCGCCAACGCCGAAATCTTGATATCTTTGAAGAAATGGGGGCTGAAACGTCATTGTTAGGCGAAAGTGAGGTTAGGTTTAATTATTCGTTACTCTTTTTCCCAGGGTTTGGCTGCGAGGATGTCTTGTTGCTGCTTTTTGTCGTATCTGTAAATGTCGTCGACTGAGTTGACCATTTCGACTTTGTTGGCTATTTCCCAGGTTTTAAGGGCTATTTGTTTTTGAGTCTCTGAAGAGGTTCCTGGTTTTGACATTTTGGAGTTTGGGGGATGCGCCCTGCGGAAATGGGGGTTTTGGTTAGTGGTGGAGAGTGTGAAATGAATTTACTTACCAATGTTGGAATTATTTTTGCCAAAAATTCTAAAATTAAAATGCCAGATATGGGATGACAGTAAATACAGAGGGCGCTGGTGGTTGGAACATTTTTATTTCTGTTTTGGCATTTTCGGTGTTTTTACGCGTTTTTCAGACATAAAGATGAGTTTATAAATGCGCTTTGGATAAATCTGATGTTCCAGTAAACGTGCCAATTTTTGGATGTGTAAAAAATTGAATTGGACGCCACTGATACACCTTGTACCAACCTGACCAAAAAAATCATTTTAAAAATTACCTCTCTAAAACCCAACTACGACAAAAAAATTAAATTAAATCAATAATTAGACGACGGTTGAAGGTCTGTTTCCGTTACAAAAAACTGTTTAACTCTCTGAAAGCTGAAATTAACATTTCGCTGTTGTACTTTCAACAATTCTTTTAACTTTTCCAAAATATTTATTCTTATTACAGTTTAACATTACCAAAACAAATGCATTTGGTTGAAAGTCCGTTACTAAATTTGTTGTGTCTGTCAAATGTCAATATCCTGCGACTCTATCGTTTGACCTGACCGGTATTCCCCAGTGCAGCCCCTTGCGGTCGCTAATTACAGCCCCGAAGCGCAGCCCCATCCCGAAGCCAACCACACCCTGACAGTTTTATTAGGGTGGTTTTTTAGCAGTTGGCAACTCTAAAGCGTCTTAAATCAAACGGGCCAATGACGTGTCAGCTTTTCGTCGGTAATGGGGGGGCAAACGCCATTTTGATTCGAGATTATGCGCGTTTTAGTTAAAGAAAAGTTTGTAACAAGTAGTGTGGTAACGTTGTGTTGTAAAGATTTGTGCTCGTTTTATTAGGAATATAGGAGAATAAAGTAAGTTTTTTGCAAAGTCGTCAATTAAAAAACGTTTCGTAAGCCCCAAAGCATGTGTCTTGATATTCGCCGGGGGCCAAAATGGCATAGTTTTCGTATTTGATGAAAAAGATGCTTGCCGGTTCCTGTTGGTCATCGACATTTTTTTCGAAATAGAAATCATGTTTTTGGGTTTGACGCTGCAGCGGCGGTTGGGAGCGGGTTTTGTGGGGGGTTTTGGGCCTCGTGGGGGTGTTTGTCGTTTTTAGGGGGGGGGTCACGGTGTGGAGTAGTGGGCTCCGGTAACGAATTTCTTTGTTGGCGTTTCTGTTACTACGTAATTAATTATGAGGGTAAAACGTGTGGGTATGAGTGACTTGAGGGTTTGAGGGGGTGGTTTTGCCCTAGACGGACAGCTGGAAGCGGGGCTCCCACATGTCTGCCGCTGCACGATCATCCCCAAATCCATCAACGTTGGGGTTGTTTCAACTTCCATTAAAAATACAATTAAACAAAGTTTCTTTGTTGGATCTGTCGCGCCGCCTTTTGATAACTCATTTTTTTTCGTTGTCATTACTGTAATTTATGTGTCGTTATCGTTATATTTGTTATTCATTCCAGTATTTTTAAACGCAATTTGTTTATTATCTCCTTGCAATATAATACGCGCGTTGTAAAAAATTTAAATCAAGGCCACATACTTGTGTTTGTTGTATTGAAACATGATGAATTCCTTTCCTCCGTTCAACGATTTCTAAAAATAGCCCACACATTACGATTTTCTTACCCCCGATTTCGTGGAAATGCTGGAGCCAGAGTGGCCGAAATAGTAACAATTTTTAATTGTTTTAACGGCTGCGGTTAGCACCTGTCGGGAACTTTTTAAAAGAACCGCAATGTTTTATGCATTTTGCGAATTAGTGCTAACTTGGTTATTTATAGACGTAAGTTTTGATGGTTTGGACCCATCGCAGAGTTTGGTCGGGTTCAACGGTACGTGTTTGGAAGTTTTGATGATGTATAGTGTGTCTGGTATAAGTTGGAGAAGTTCCACTATAAACGGAAGGAGCGGCGAAAATTTATGATTCACACATTTACACTTGTGACATTTTTTCGCCGGTGATAATTTGCTCAAGTAGGTTGGATTGTCATTGCACATATACAGGGTGTGTCACTTTAACTGACAACTACCGTATGTATGAAAACCAGATTATCTGACTAATCACCAGGCAATTGACATAAAAAGGCAAACCGGAAGACATCGGTGGTCCTACTTCCGGTTTACTACAGAACGACAAATTTTTTTCATTTTGCGCAGAATATCTCCATCGTCAACATTTAATCATTTTGTCTGAATTTTTATTTTTTTTATTTTTTGAAAATTTATAACCGTAACGAGACGAGTCCCTGAGCAGTAGCTTTAAATATCATGTGAATGTATATGTTTGCCACAATTCCCAGACCCCCGATTATAAAACTATCGTCTTACACAAGCTTAATTAACGCAGAAATCAAATTATAAACCGCGGTCACAATTTACCAACGTCAAAATCTCAATTTCTCGCAAATTGCATTTCCTGCACCTGCTGTGTTCGCGTGCACTTTCATTAAACCCACAGCCTGTATTAGCACAAATCAATAATAACCCCATGCAATAAAAATTTCATCCACCTTTTAAATAAATCGACAAGCCTGTAACGCAAAACCGCTGAAAAGGGGAAAAGTAGCTTTATTAACGACATTGAAGCGGCTTTCGACACTTAATCAAAGACCACAATTCGCAACGACTCATTGCAGTGCATGCGAGGAACGAAAGTAAGACAGTATCAATTTTATTGAAAGTAAAAACGTGGGATTTAAATGACAGACAAGGAGCTTTATTCAGTTGCTCGGAAGTCGGCGTAATAAATTTCCAGCGACTGCAAACACGCGTTGGTTAACTATACGTTTAGTGTGGACATGGGTCATTTTACGATGGGGGAATTGTGCACAAGTTTCACACTAGTGGTCACGGTAAACATGTGAAAAAATTCTTTTCGAATAAGTCGACCGCAAAGTTGGGAATTGTTACTGCAGGAGGAAGAATGATGTAATTCCACATGTGATACGGATCCCCACGGCACGTTATTTATAACAACAAATTTTTCATTTTAATGTCACGCCGTTTATCTCGGGAAAATGGCAGCGGATACTCATGTAATCATGGGTGGAAGGATGGATGGGGATGGCGATAAAGGTGATAGGGGATCGTTTGTCTAAACAATGATGTAACCGTGACGTTGCTAAACTTCCATCTTTCCGTGTTTCCACAGGGAAAATACGTGGTATCTCAAAGCAAACATATACAGTGTGTTTCACAAAAATTTTCTCGAAAGCTACTACACACCTGTAATTACGACACAGTATCTACAGGGTTTGCTGAAATAGCATTAATGTGATAAGATTTATTGATATGCATATCTGTATACACAGAGGTTTGATTTAATAAATAAACTCTTACAATTTTTTTTCTATAAGTGTGGATGCAAATTTGAAAGTATCGTGAATATGCAATTTGCGTTTTTTGTGTACCGCTTGGGAAAGCCTCGAACACATACAGCAACTTCCCACTAATCCTCACTAATTGAAATTTTAATGCACGAAATTTAAAGCCGATAATACAAAGTTCTCTTCACATTTTCACCGGAAATTTAAATAAATTTCAATTTCATGCCGATGGCGAAGTCGAGATGAATTTTCTTTCATCGGACGTCACTTCAACGAATCCATTTATCAGCGGTCTCGCCGGGACGTAGACAATAAATCGAAAAAATTCGTAGTCATATTTGAAACTTCTTGACTCATAAATCGTCAAGTTTATTGATATTCCGGTGATTATTTTCGGGATCACGTCGAACTTAGGCAATTGTGATTACGAATGCAGATAAATCATTCCCGGACATAGAAAGCTCACGAAGTCGTGATGCAGTGGACCAGTATTAACAAAAATTTCAATTTGAAATCCTTGACTTGTCTGTCAACGGTTGTAATAACGGAATTGTGGGACAGCTGGAGGAAAATTTGGAGCATTTGGAGGTGATTAATGGTTTATTTGCTTATTACACAACTTGTGAGAAAAATGGTGACTGATATTTGGAAAAATGGGTGTTGGTTGTTATCGATTGTTTGGATTTCGAATCGAAATGTGGAACGAAGATATGCAGGTTGTTTGATCGTAATCCTGAAATTGATTACATGTCTTGGCATCTGTCGTCGATCCGAATTTTTATTTTCCAACTATTTTCTACCGTATTTACTATTTATCCGTTTTTATTAAAAACTTGAAATGGGTTCATTACTTATGCACAAAGTACTTTCAAATACTAATTATGAACGCTTTAAAAGGCATTAGATGTTGGTTTAAAGTGGCAAAAATGGGCGTTGGTTGTTATCGATCATTAGGCGTTAGAAACCAGATAATGTTGGTCGAAGGTATGCAAGTTCTTCCTCTTCCTGGTAGTTCTTGCATTAGCGCGTTTGAAATTCTTGTCAGTTCGAAAATTCGGCGCGAAAATAAACGGTCGCTAATATTGACATAAAATAGACTTTAAACCTCATCATAAACCTCACATTACATGGCCTCCCAGTCATTTATAGCCGTCGTGAAGAATGCAAATTGATAACATTGTATCCCTCTATGATACAGAATTGCTTCACGTCCCACTATTTGCCATGCTTGACCTGTTGCATTTTTATAACAAGTTGCTATCTGCAGCGCCAGTAAAAACCCAAATGACCCTTTATTAGACCGGTTTGTTCTTCTTGCGCCGATAAGAACTGATCTGCATGGAGTAAAAGTCACATGCACGATAATAGATCTGACATTTACTCAGCATGACATTAAGGAACTAAGTTCCAACAAAACAATCGGCGTCGGTTGGCAATGTTTAAAATCACCGAACGGAACAAGAACAAGTTGTAGTGTCGAAGAACACTTTTTAAACACTGGACGTGGGCGTATCCTATTGTCCCGGAAATGGTTAACTGGCTACATGTCGTTCCAATGTCATGATAACTACTCAATTCGGTCGGATAAGGAAAGGAAGTTTTGTCATCGATATTCCGAGGTTACATTTTTTGAATATTTTTACCGAAGTGGAGGATAAAGTTTTCTTTCATCGACGAAATATGAGGATAAGAGTTGAATGGGGACGTTGTCGTTCGTGCTAAGTGATAAATGAAAGCACTTCATCATTGCACTCGCACAAATACGGCTTCTGCTTGCTAAATACCTCTATTGTTCCCTGCAAGGTTGAAGAGCAAAGGGCTTCTGACTCCGAAATTGAATGCTTCGTTACATGCAAAATTGACTTGTGCAAATGGACAACCTACTTTTTCAAACTATAGGAGTTATGAAGCGTCAAGAAAACCTAAACGTAAAATTTCTGGAGATGACACATGGATAAATTTTAGCAATCCCCTGAACCCCTAGAAGGCGTGCGTCACGTGCACCCTCTATTGATTGAACTTCAGAGCCGATGTAAATAACCCCGATTTTCTAATCACGTTTTTTAAAAATATTTTTGTTCGTTAACCTTTGGCCGTGTAAATATAACTTTCATACCTGAGCGTAGAAACTTCACCACATCGCCGGTTTTGATTCGAAGAGGTCTCGCACTAAACCTATATAATTTCCAATTGAATAAATTCGGTGAAAACGATACAGTCCGTGTTATTTTAGGCTTTGCCTCATCCTGTTTGTAAACAGAACCCATCAAAGGATCCTCTAGTGTCAGCAAAGGTTAGCAATGTGGCCCCAGTTTATCGGCAGCGCATTCCAACCAACTTTACGACACAAAATAATTCGAAACAATCTCCTTCCATTCTGTTTCTGTTCACCTGTTTTACGATCCTGTGTCGTGCTTCATTAAATGGTGCACTTAATGTCCTGACGTTTCTCTTCAGGTACCGTTCTCGCCTTCATGCTTAAATCGGACGTGCTCGTACTACGAAACAATAAAAACGGCATTTTTGTGTTTTCGATGATGGAATTGAGAGCTTAATTAATTCATTCGCAAAGTTGGACTGCGTGCCCGGGGATGAAGGAATTGCTTGTCAGTTTTTAATGCTCGTGAATAATCAAGCGTTAATCCGATTTTAACGGCGGGGTTTTAATTGAATTGCGCCGAGTTTTTGCTTGGATTCTTTTGTATGACAAGGTGTTTCAAAATTATTTAAATGCCGTGAGTAATCGGAAAAGTTGGACAGGAAATTGGACTTGGGATTTGTTGCTTCCGGTATTGCGGAGACATACGGCATATAAGTTGTTTCGTTAGGCTCGGCGGAATTTCTAATTCGATAACTATTTTGAGGTTTGCGTTTTCACAATAAGGTTATTGACGATTGGCAACTAGGTGGTGTGCGGTGAGCATTTGTTGCGCTATAAATGAACTTCGACGGATATATTAGTAATAGAGTCCAGCAGCAGCAGGTATAGAAACAAGCCGCATATTAAAAAACGTGTGGCATCTCGCAGGGTCACACATTAGGTTCAATACTATTCAGATAACAAAACAACGACAACATACATGAGTCAAGCACGAACCGTTCACGATAATGAAAACATGCAATTAACTCCAGTGGAAAAAAGGAGATTTATTAAATAGTCAATAGCGTGAAACAATTGCATTGTGTGGTTCGGCCCACTCCCACTGCCACCTCCTCAAGGAATAAAATCGTGTGGTCACCATTTTGGCAAAATCAGCCACATTCGCTTTCAAAAAGTGTGAAGATTCTGTCCAAGATAAACAAAAAGTGTGTCAGTGATTCACCCAGTGGTCCGCAGAAAGACACCTAAGCTGATTTTATGGTTGTAAACAAAGAACGCGTTTTAACAGACTGGTATTAAATGACACCGAAACCTCAACTGCCACGGTAATTACTCCCCAGTAATGATGAGATCGCCAGACATCAGCCTACGACGCAAGTTTTTTCGATCTTTATAAAAAAAAAAATCAGGTACAACAGATCACGGATGACCTCAAACATCTGCACGACGCGCTGATCTCGCTTTTTCTAGCCTCGAACAATGCGATTTGTGTTTAAATAAAAGTAAAGTTCTTTGTTCGACGCTGCTAATTTGCTGTGTTGGTTTTTAGATGAATAAACAGTTGTTCACACAATAGCGTATTTTCGGTCGAAAATCACCTTCTCGAGAGCGATATTTTAACACTGTAGCTGACGTAGTAGCCATCACATGCACAACATATGTGTTGTTGGGATGAAAGTTAACAAAGATCGTGCAGTAGACGACTTCGAGGCCAATTTAGAGTAATCATGGGAGATGTGGGCTTTATTGCTATCAAAAATGTAGTAGTGGCCAGTGGAGGTTCGGAATTTTGAAGACTTTTAAAGTCACATTTATCTTGTTGCGTGTCAGAGTGCGTGCTTCTTCGTTTTTGACAAGGATTGAAGAAACGTATCATTAGATTTCGGCGTTTGAAAATTACCACACAATGGTCCTCCAGCTTGACCCGCGGAACAAGTCCACCTAAAGCCCGTTTTTCATGGGATAGTTTTGTTCTTGTTTATAATCCACTTTGGTTCCTTTTTCTCCTATCATTAGATTTTTGTTTTCGGTACCAGGGAGTACCGCAAAAACCATTCTTCGGAATGTCTAGTCAGCCTAGCTATTTTCACAATTGAGTTAGTTAGTTAGTACTGTGTTTTTTACAAAAAAAATCTGTTGGACCGTGACTGAAAACTCGTATAAATGACAAAATATTATTACAAGTACCACCAATAAGTACTTCAATTGCCATCAGTCATATTTATTGCTATTTTTGCATTTAATGGATAGTTCACTCTTGATATTCTTAAATTATGTTGCGATTCCCAGTCCAACATGCTCAAAATTTCGTCACTTTCTCTCGATCAGACCCCATTTTTTGCAGTCCTGAACAATGACATGACTTGAAACTTTGCCTATGAATAATTGGCCAACCACTGAACCCAAAGTCCATGCAAATCACACCGCTCTGATTTGGTTGGTGTTTTGAAAGACCTGACGTAACCCGTGTGCAACAATGCAGTTGCATTCGGAAGCCACAGTCTTCACCACAAAACTCCCAAAAATACGACCCTGGAGGAAATTCGGGCCACAGTTTAATGACACCCGGTGTTTATTTGTGTGCGGTAGATGCATTCTATCAAATCATGACTTTTACAAGCGACAATATAGGCGAGGTTTTCCAAAACATCACAACTATTTACGTTCTAGAAATAACAAAAGCAAACAAGCCGACCTGATAAGACGGATATCCAGAATGAGTTTCGTCATCGATGATTTCCTGATAATTTAAGCCGAAGACACGTCCAAGGAACGACTTTTTACCTGTCGCCGTGCACGTTGCTCATAAATCTCTACATCCATAACTCAATTACACGATATTCATAATAATTCATTGCGTCTGCTGACTATACAAGACAATACCAACCTCAATGCAAATTCGCATTCTTGGGGCCTAAAAAGGCACAAACGTATGCACAGGCATTCGGAAAATTTTCCACTGGACCTTTGGGTACTTCCGTTGGGTACCCAACTATTCGTCCAATGTGGGTTAAGATAAATGTCGCCTTTACAAAACAAACAAATTTCCTGAGTGATTAGTACTACCGTAAGTGCCGCGCGCCGTGAATCACTTCGGTACCGACAGTACTCTAAAGGAATTGCAATCAGATTTAATTTTATGAGTTTAGTCAGTTGCGGGCGACAGATTTATCATCGTTTTTCCTAAAGTTGTGACCTTGGCCGGTACTGCCGTACTCGTATTGACATAGTTCGTTCCCCCTTCAGTTACTAAGTTGGAAGGAGTCGCTGCAGTCATTTGTAAACCATCGGTGCAGTTAATTGTGATTGTGTGCAAGCCGGTGCTTTTTTCACTATCGTGAATGGTGGCCAACATAAGGGCTTGCCGTTATCAAGGATTGTAGTACCTCAAGGTAAATGTCAATAACGACCTGTTCTGTTTTGAAGCGTCAATCAGTACCTGAGTTTGTGTTTTGTTCTATTTTTGGATTAGCGATATCGGAGGAGGGTATTGGGTGAGTACCGTCGAGTACTACTGCAATTTTAAATGCTTTTACGTGAATTTAGTCAACTTTGGATATTTATTTGGTAAAAATTTCGTAGTTTTTCAGAGAAAAGCTCGCTGATGACTTACGAGAAATTAGTCTATAATTGAATTAAAATTATTTTGAACTAGAACTTAGCAATTAGCAAGGCAATTTCGAACAGTTCAAAAGTCCGTTTACAATCTCTTTGAAGTAAACAAGAATTTAGTCATACATTTTACTTTTTGAATCATAGATTAAATAAGAAACCGAATGACAATATTTAAAGTGAACTTTGATCTCGGTGTCACCAACAAATTTTTGGAATAAATTAGCGCTGAAAGTCTTACTTAGCTTATGGTTTTGCAATTGCATGACTTTTTAGATGTAGATAATAGTGTTTAAATTAGAAAAAGGTTACTTAATAGTGAGAGTATGAACTCTATAAAATTGTACACATTTTTTAATCCAGATCGGTTCTGGAACATTGGCAACAGCGACGTGTCTTTTTCCACGATTACGCTAACAAGTGAATTATGTCAAGAATGTTCGAAAAAACCTCATTCACGTTTTAGTGAATTCGAAGGCGTGTCATTTTTTTCCATAAATGGTGCCTCGTCCGAACCTTATCAGTTGTAGCCCGTGGTACCCAAGGTAAAAATGAGTAGTGATCTCCTGTTACTTTCGTGACGTTTCGAACCGTCATATTGTCATCTACATATTTTATACACATTTTTAGACTTTATTAGAACAATTAGAAGTAAGTACCTTCTCGGAAGCGTGAGTACCGGCAGCTAGAAACGATTCCGTGAAAGAATTCTAGAAATGATTCATTCACTTCGACTTAGTCATCGTGTCTGTTAAATGTGTACCACTATCAATGTTAAATATTTCAATGCTAAACAGCACACTTGTTTCAGATAGGACAAAATGGGTGCTAGGCAGTCCAAGAGGTCAGTGGACATCACAACAACCCCCAAAAAGGGCGAAGAAATGGCGGTCGAGGGCGAAGGCAAAGTGGAGAAAATAGCGGAAATCGACGCGAAAGTCACCACGAATGGTGCCATACACTCCGAAATCGAATATGCTGTAAGATTTGGGTGTACATAAATTGCGGACTAGTCATCCTTACGGCGTTTTCGCATTCTTTACCTGCAAATGGCATTGAAATTCCGGGCCGAAAATTTTGGGAACTGGGCAAGCTGTTTAAAACCATATCAGCTATTTCACTTTCGTCTAAGCGTATTTGGATTTTCGACTAAATTTAAAGCTAGTTTTTGGCCGAATAGTTTTATTAAAACTGAAAACTCATTGCATTTCAGAAAATATTGAAAAAAATGACTAAAGCTTGGATTTACATATCTACAAACAAACATTAGAAATAGGTTCATGCATATTCAGAGACTTTTGACGCAAATTGTGCAATGCGTTAGTAAGAAAATAACTTTTTTTTTAAAGAAATTTAGTAGCTTATAAACGTAGTTATATTTAGGTTAGATAATATGGAAAATCTCTACTACTGAAAATATTTTCGTTAACTGAGAATTGTTTTTCTCAATTGTCAAGCTGAGTAATTGTGTTTTTTTTTAAATTCAGTGTAGATTTATTGATGGGAAAAATAGTTCGATGCTATACAGATGTAGTGGGCATTTAAAGCTTTTCAAATGTGAGCTTGAAGTGGTGATTGATATATTTTTATAAAAAAAAATGAAACCAGCTTTGATGATCTAAACAACTTAAAAAAAATGACGTTAACAACTCTGGTTTTCTGATAATCATCAAAGGTCAAAAATAATTTCTTTTTAGATGTTGTATTTTTTGATATACTGACATTTTAATCAAAAACAAAATTGTCGTTCTGCTTTTTAAATCACTTGGTCCCCAACCTCTGGGTAGACTCACCCCTTGGTCCGCATTTAAAGACTTTTGCCTCTAGGTGTGGTCAAAAAGTGGCAAAGGCGTCGCCTCAATTTCCTAAATTGTTTGTTTTGGATTGTACATGCGATTCATGAGGGAAATTAAACCTAATCATGAAAACGACCGCTGGAACGCTGAAAATTCTCGAGCAGACGGTTTTTAATTGTTATTAATATTGTTGTGGTTTGTTCAATTGAGGCTTGTTGCGAATTCTCGTGTTTGCTTTAGTTTGGATAAACAAGATTCCACAGCCACTGGGCGGTTGGTTGCCGCTTCCAGATGCTTATCGTGGTATCTGGTTTCTTTGAGTTTAAACGGATGAGATGTCTTGAGAGCGATTAAGACGCCGAATGTCTTTATTGAGATCAATAAGTCAAATATCAAGTGGAACGAGGAGTATAAATTTTGTTTGTTCAAGGCGGGATATGATAACGAGAACACGACTATTTGCAACGAGCGGTTTTATTTTCGCCTCTGTTTACAAGTGGTTATAAAGTGGGGCTCGGGGTTATGTAACGAACATCGGGAATGTGCAGAATTTAGCACTGGCTATGATAATTGGCGTTTTTGGGTATCTAATCAGCGACGTTGTCTTTGTTTTTTGAATAATTCAGATTTGAGGGCTTTACAGAAGTGTAAATTATGTTGTTGTTATCAAAATGTCACAGTGTGTTTCATTGCACTGATGTTAATTCATGCATTTTTTATTATAGGTGCAAATTTACATATCGTAAAGTGTAAAGTGCTACCAACTTATTTTCGTACTTTTATTGTGGTCGTTCGTTTCAAAATTTATGGATGTTTTGGTAAATGTATGCGCAAATATTTGGAAAGGGTTTTTGTCTATATTGTGATAAGGAATTTATGCGTAGAAATATTGAACACAGAAAGTGATATAGTTGTTTGCTATGATGATATAAAATATTTTACAATTTTTAGATTATAAGACGTGCTTTATTAAAATAAAACTAAAAGTGTTGATAATGGTTCCAAAATAGAAGCAGTAGTTGAGATCGTATTAAAGTTGTTATTTATGAGGTTTGTTGTGTTTGTTGATTACTCGTAAATCGTAAAATTCTATTTTAAGCAAGAATGCGATTAGTTTCTTACGTTTGAAAATCATTTTTGTATTTTAATTTCAAAAATTTATCAAACACTATTAAAAATTTGTGAAATTGCCTGGTTTTTCGTAAGTGGCAAAATTTATTTTTCCATATTTTCAAGTAGGTGCCAACGACTAGAGCAAACATGGGTAAATATTAGTCTTTATTAAGTAAGTTGTTTGAAACGCACTTTTAAGATAAAAAAAAAATTATAATGTCATTGTCAAAAGTCAATGTCGTGTGAAACCCAAACATGATCGAAAAAACAATATTCTTGGTTAAAGGGAAATTTCGCTAAAATTAGATACCCAGATTCCGAAAAGTAAAATTTCGCAAACAATACAAATTCCCGCTATAAAAATAGCCCGAAAATCTAGGTTAGACCAACTCCACGCACCTAAAACCATCAAAACTCATCATCCGAAACCCAGAAACCAGCAAATCAACTTTTCCAGCCGTCATCCAGCATTTTTATCTAAAACCATCTCGATCCGCCATAAATTAAAATCGCAACTTTATCATGCCGACGTTTCATGTTCGCCAACGAATTAGCTGCGTCGAAATCAAACGACATTAATTGACTTTTATTTTCAATAAATAATCGGGCAGATGACTGCCGTCGATATCCAAGCCCCCGTTCCCCAAATCCGACCGATGAAAGGTCCATAAAATTCGCGTTAATTTCCAGCAACACAGGCGCGCATTTTTTTTTTCGTCGTCTGTAACATCGAGATAATTAAATGGGGGTTAGGTTAGGTTACTGTCCCCGGCCAAGGCCGCGCTGAGCACATGGCTTTTGACAGCATCGAATTCTCCAGTCTGCAACCGGTAAAACGCTTGATTTGTTCTTTTGCTGCGCCTCGTAAACACCGACAATGATGGCACGGTGCTGTCTGTGTGTAATTATTTTTATACACTCAACAACGCCCAAAAGGCAGGTTCTGTCGATGATGGCTTTATGGTCTGTCACGTTTCCGGCCCACGAAATTAATAAGGTCCTTATTCGGGGGGAGTGGGTAAATGGTGTGGGTGGGCGTGCGATAAAAATTCGCAACCCGGAACTTGGCTCGTCCTTAGAAGATGACTACGGTTGATATGAACGGGGGGAGATACAGTTTACTACCAGGGGTGTTCCGAAAAGAGTGCGAAGCAGAGTTTCCCAAACTTTTTTGAACTACCAACGCCACCGTGGAAAAGTAGCGGTTGCAGTACTGCTGCATTTATGTGACATGGTACATAAAATCGTATGATTTCTTATCTGCCTGACCATAAAATTGTGAATTGTCCAAGTTAAACCTCATTTATTGCGATAAGAATTGAATTTTCTTAGAAATCAATATACGTCCATGACTACTCAAGCTTAAGTTAAATCACCAAATCAAAGAGTCATATATGTATACTACAGTAATAATTATCATGGTTTACATTTCTAGAACGTCAGCTTATAGTTGGAAAAACAGTAAGAATGTAAGACTTAATTAGTCCAATCTCATGCTTTGAGTTAGTGAAATGTAGCATAAATGTATGCGTAAAAGTATTTTTTAAAAATATGTTGTTTACTTGGTCTACAAGTGAAAGTCAAAATTATGGGTCAGCAGAATACGCCTTTTTGGATAACCCTGTAGTATCACTGAATCGTGTATTTCGCAGGATAAAGATGAAACAACCAAAGAAGAACCCGTCGCCGAGACGTCCGGCGAAATCAAAGAGAACGGCGTTTCGGACGCCGAAGATGCCGCCAAAACACCGGAGGGCGACACCAGCGCCGCCGGCGACCAGTTGAACGAATCGGCCACCACAACGTCGGAAAAATCCCCGTCCGGCGACGACAGCAAAGTAGAGGAAACCCCCGAATCAAAGAAGAGCAAAGAGAAGTCGAAAAAGAAAAAATGGTCGTTCCGAAGTATATCGTTCTCGAAGAAGGACAAATCGAAACCGAGCAAGGACTCGGAGAAGAACGGAGAAGTCAAGGAAGTCGCCGAGGAGGTGAGTGCTGATTTGAATTTGTAATCGTGTTTACTCGAGACACGTGCGTTTGCTGTTACGGTTAGAGAATTTTTATTCGGGTGATGTTGTTCCGTTTTGTTATTTTTGCTGAAAACGACGGTTTCGCTTGATGGTCTAGTTGTTTGTCGATGACCGTTTGTCGCTCGGAAACAACATGGACGACGGGTTTCCGGTGACCAGACGTGATTCTAATGCAATTTCCTGTCCACGGAGAGACGGATGGAATTTTGAAAAAGTGTGACGATATAAAAGAATTTCGTGTTATTTGAGTTTTCAGTTTTTCACAAAATTTTGGATTATAGTCGTCGCGAAATGTAAAATTAATACTTAACTAGCAAGTTTTACTGTTGTTTCGTGTTTTTAAAAATTGCATTTAAGATAATTTACTGTTCGCCGATAGACTGATAAACACAAACGCGGTGAGTAATAGGTGATAAGACTTTTTATCGCGACTTGTGCAATTCAAGCGGAAAAATAAAATTTTATTGCGTTTTATCAAATGCGCGCCGACGAACTTTTAGGACACAGATGGTCAATAGAATTTCCTGTTTTTGATTGTTTATGAAAAGCAAATAAAATACGTCATTGTGAAAATATTGTAATTCGACAATGTGCCCGCATCATGCTAGGGGAACAGATGGAAATTATCATATCACTAGTCGACATTCCAAAGGGTATTAAAACCTTCCCAATCTAATGGGCACCATCCATCACCAACCACCATTAGAAATTTAAATTAAGGCATTAAATAATTACGAGTCGACATAAAAACTTGAGCACTCGAGTAATAACGTTTTACATCTATGAAGAAAACAATGAAGCGCGTCAGTTATCTCAAGCGTTCAATTTTCTGCATTATTATCTCGTTTTGTTTATTATCCGTATCGTCGTATTTATTAATAAATTTATTAAAGTGGGGTTATCTTTAGTATGCGGGGGTCAGACGTCTCCGCTCGTCTTCGATATTTTCGAATCTATCGCATTTGTATTGTCCGACAGTCGCGACACACCTAACCGTCAATTGAATTAACATAAAATTAATTTCTTATTCGACGATGAAGGCCGCCTCGTCTCGAGTTTTGTTGGCATTTTTGTCCACTTTTACTCTATTGTTATCTATTAAACTAGTCGCCGACAACGATACGGGCCCGTTGTGAACAATCAATTTAGACACGATTAACGTCATTTCGCCCCTCGTGAGCGCTCCCCCGCCTCTGAACGCGTTAAAGGCTTAAGGGGTGGAAAGACGTGTTTGTGTTGCTGAATCACACCTAAGGGAAACTGACCTAAAATGACACACTTTCGCCTACCTCACTACGATTTATTGACTGGAATTTTAGCCAAAATTGTTGGAATTGTTTTGTAATGTAGAACAGCGCCGGAATTACAACCCATGACCTATGCTCATAAAATGTTATGAAATGTATAATTAAAGTTACATAGTTGTTAAAAAACTTTTTCAAGGTGCTTTTATTATGTTAGTGTCTAATTAACGAAATACGGTTTTTGTCTTTGTACTTCATTGTTTATACTCGCGTCTTTTCGGCACTTTTGATTATAACACAAAATTATACCAAGTTTTGGAGCGTTGGAGATAAGTTTCAGATTTTATCTGACAGCGTACGTCACCTGCTATATCAAAACCGTAATCCAAGCGGAAAAACTGTTTTATTTTCCGTTCAGGTGGAGAAGCTTATTTTAAGTTTTCCTGGAACATCAAATTAAACTTCAAAAACGTTGTTGCTAACAAGCCATGATTAACACGAACGTTCATGTTGATAAGTAAAGTCACTATTTATAGGATAAAAGCGTGGTGTATCAAAAAACCCAGAATTTATGGTTATTTCGGTCCGCACATTTTAAGGATTTTCCCCGAAGTTGAATAATATATGAACAATTTTAATGTATGGTGTTTCTCTCGACTGGACAAAAAATGGAATACTCTATGAAGTTAAATATACAGGGTGCATAATTTTAATGGTAAATAATTAAAATATGGTTCTCAGAGATTCTTAAAATTTCCACCGTAGAAAATAATTCTTATTGTAAGACTTTGGTAACAGTTCGTTCAATTTATGGACGTTACCAAAGACATATTCATTTTTTTGCCATATAATTCGCCGGTACAATTATGCTTTAGTGCTCTAAATCTCCCTGTATAGTCTCGGATGTGACCGATTTACTATATATATACTACTATACTGTAACAGGTTCATTGTTACAAAATTTTAATGATGTTGTTGTGCAACAATTACTCACTAATGCGATATAACAGTCCCTGAGATGTTTGGTTTGGATTGCAGTAAATTGCAGAGATTTACTCTTAAGTCTTTTTATGATTCTTGTTCCAATAAAGATACCAGAATTACTGTTGATCTGAAATATAGCGGTATAAGATATGTTGCTAAGCAACGAAAATGTTCCATATATGGCGTAAGGGAAAATTGATTGATTTAACAAAAATTTTTAGTGTGACGATACTATTACGCAAAAAATTAATGTGTATGTAACCTCTCTTTGGCAAATACGTATGAATTTCGTGCATTTTCAAGGATTTATTTACCAAGGCAAGGATTATTATTATTTCATGTCATTGCCGTAATTGTAAGTACATTTATCGGTAATTATACTTCGATATATTTAAACCTGAATAAGTGCATAAATTATTAACAATTATTGTTCTTTATCTCACCGATAACAATAATAATAATTTATGGGACAAGTTTGATAAAAGAATTGTAAGTCAAATTTGGTCGGACAAGGCCACTCATTTTCTTGGTTTTTCCCACTCCTTGGAAAACATTGCCACCATCACTGCTCTAATGTCATCCATCTAATTTGTATGCGTGTTTTAAAGTCATCCACGATTTTCTATTTTTAAATAATGCAAATACAAAAAATGAATAAAACATGGGACAAAAATTAGGCGAAGTTATAACATTATCAGTGTCGTTTTTTACTTTACAGTCTTTATTAGATAATATCTAGGTATGGTTATAATTAACACTTTAAGAATTCGTTGTAATTTAAATGTGTTGCATGACTCATCAGGAGTTTTATCAAATTTAATTTGTACTTTTTGTTAAGCTTTTATATTTATATATAAAAAATTAATTAAGAGTGATGAAGTGTCACACGGTTATTACTGCACAAAAACAACAGACACTAAACACCCAACAATCTTTAGATAATGCACAGATCCTACTTCATTTCCCATGCTATCGGCTACCGTAATGAATATAAACATTAGCCTTTGCCGGCGTTGTTCTAGATAACGCGCGAAAGTGAGTTCTATCCATCCATATAAAACACTGCCACTGCAAAACATAGGTAAACCCATCGATCGACGAAGAGTTGAAACTTTCAAAACTATTTCCTGCTTTAAGCATATTCTTAAGACCGGATAAAAATTTCCGGGCACACTATAATAACAATAATCAAAGAGAAAAAGTGTCGTTCGCCCAAGAAATCTCTCAATAAATCTGTCAGTATCGCTTATCCCGTCCAAGATCGCCATAATCGCCTTACGTCAATTCCCTCAGATTTCGTCCCTTCGGAACTGGGTTAAAGCCCCTTAAAAAGAGGTCGAGTAGTCAACCCTGTCCCGTGCGAGATGAATGGGAGCTGGTGCAGCTACCGGCCGGCCGGTTTTGGGATCCTGTAGTAACCATGACGACCGCCATTCGCGTCTCCTATCGATCCGGGATGTCGTGATGGTACACCACCGATACGGAACGTGGGTGTAGAAAGAGGGGACTTTTCAACACCCTGACCGGGCTGGCGGTGACCACCGACAGATGGACGTGACATTTGCTCGACGCGTGGAACGTCTTATGTCATGTCGCCGGCTCCAGGTGTCTAGGGGAAGTCGCACCCTCCGTCTAAGACCAAAATAAATTATTCATCAGTTCGCCGCTGTCTGGGCGAATTTTCGGCGGATGGGGGAAGCGAGAGGGATGTAAGCGCTAATTGACGTCGATTGGGTAATTTGTTGGAGCAGCGCAGGCTAAAAGGGTGTCTTAAATTTATATAACTTCTAGATCAGCGTGGTGCCGAAAGTTATTTATGTAGCTGGAAAAGTATAATTATCCCAGGAGTACGTTCCAGAATAAGTTTAATAAACGAGTTTTCGCAAAAATAATAAATTTTCGATACGGCTCCATATCTCCGCAATCCGCATGGTCTTGTTTGTCGTGCAAACATCCACTGTTGACACAGTTTTCTTCGCCAAACAAGCGCTCGTGCTCGGTAGGGCACCCACGTTACGGGAACAAAATACGGCTGGCTTCTGAAAACAATCGCTTTTTTCGTCGTTTCCGGCGAAAGAGATGTGACAGAAATGTCGCAGTGGGGAAGGTTAATGGCGTCCCGGTGCCCCAGTGAACGGCCTAATTGGATGGTTTCTAAGTCTAATTCCGTCGTCTTCGTTTCACATAACCTTAATGACTTTTCTTCCCAAACGTTGCCGGAATTCGTGTCGTGGAACTATTGTTACCACTGGGTCGAAAATAAAATATGGAATGACCCGGGGAACCGGCGTGGCCATTTGAAATTTAAATTAAGGGACCATTGTAGTTACGATGTGTAAAGGAGAGGGCATTAAGCCGGGTTTTAGGAATTTTGTCGAGATTTTTTTGTTCGGAGGTTCGTGCGTGGCCGATGCAGGTCGAGACAATACAAAATTTTACGTAAGATAGTAAGGTCAAAGAGCTAAAATTAATGTATTCAACTACTTGGCGATGTCATTTGAAAAATGTTTGAAATGCGTTTTGCTAAATCCTTTTTGCTTGTAAATAAATAAGTAGTCACCATACTACTACTACTGCGCTACTAGCTTCACTTTTATTATATTTGTTTCAGTCCTTATGATAGAATAAATTTAGTTTTATAGTTCCTAATAAAATTTTATAACTTCAATATTAAGAAGGGTAACTCTCTCTAAGTTATAGCTTCAGTATAGCCATTGAATTTAAATTAGA